GTTCCCTCGTACCGGGCTCATGGCTCTTTTTCAGTATTGCATAGGTTTCTTCAAAGCTGCTCGCTGCTTTTTTTGTGGTGTCTTCTTTCTTACGATTTCTGTCCCTCTAAGGAGCCCCTCCCTCTACTCTCCAGTGTAAAGTGCTTCTTCGGTTGCCCTGGTGTCTCGGCTCCGAGCATGCTGCTTGTGTCTGTAGGCTTTCACTATGCACTCACGAAGTTTAGTGTTTGAGAGATTGCTCCCTGCCCCCGCCCCCCCCTTGCCTTAAACAAAATCCTTTTACATTACCTCTTTTGGATGTGCTGGGATATCACTGATGTGGGAAAAATTTATGTTAATTTCTTAGATTTTAGATTCTTGTGCCATGGGAATGGGGACCAATGAACTCCACTGCCTCGGGGTTGTGGTATTTCATTAAGGATGGTAAGGGTCAGGGATCGATGCCCTTGCTCTCCTGAGACACCTCTCCTTGAAGCATAACTAACCTGGTCAAGTGTCAGTGGCCACATAGAAGAATGAGGCACTGTTTGTCCGCATTGTGCTAGGAACTGATGAACTGCTTCTGAAGGTGCTGGGATGCCAGGGCAGGAAAGATTTTTTTCAGACCAGGATACATCCGTTCTTCATAGCCCCATGTCTGTTCACTGCCACACGGTGAATAGAGACATTCAGCACCGCCCCCCAAGGAAATTTGTTTCCTTAAACGCAAGCACCTTGCCTGCAGTTGTATGGATTTAGATAGGGCAGGTATAAAGCCCAGATCTCCCAGTGGCACTAAAAACAAAACAAAACAACTTCTATTATTGCTTAGGCCTTAGAAGCTTGCTTGTTTTCTAATGAGAGACAGAAAGAAAGTGGATCCCGATGGGAGGGAAAGTAGGGAGGAACTTGGAGGAGGAGAGGGTAGAGGAAAGGAAACATAATTGGGCAGAATACCTAGTTGTCCAAATATACACTGAATATAATTCTTTTTTCCTTTTTATTGAAAACAGACTTTTTTTCCCCACATAATATACCCTAACAGACTCATGCAGGCCCTATGCACGCTGCCTCAGTCTCTGTGAGTTCATGTGAGCTGATCCTGTTGATTTAGGTCTTGTTTTCTTGGTGCTCTCCGTCCCCTCTGGCTCTTGCACTCTTTGTGCCTCCTCTTCAGAAGGGTTCCCTGAGCCCCGAGGGGAAGGATTTGATGGTGACATCCCATTAGGGATGAGTGTTCCAAGGTCTCTCACTCTCTGCACAGTGTCTGGCTGTGGGTCTCTGTATTTGTTCCCATCTGCTGCAGGAGGAAGCCTCTCTGAGGATGACTGAGTGAGGCACTGATCTATGAGTCTAGTAGAATGTCATTAGGAGCCATTTTATTGCTACTTCTTACTGTTATTATCAAAGAACAGCAGAATTTTATTTTACCCTAGGTCCCTGGGCTATCTAGTCTCTGGTTCTTGATCACCCCAAGAGTGTCGGGTATGGGTTCTGCCTCGTGGAATGGGCCTTAAGTCAAAGCAGATAGTGGTTGGTGACTCCCACAAGCTTTGTGCCACCATTGCCCTAGCATGTCTTGAAGGCAGGACAGCATTGTAGAGCAAAGGGTTTGTGGCTGGGCTGGCATTTATGTTTTTCTTTTGGAGGTCTACAGAGCACCTTCCCATACCAAAGACACTAGAATGTAGGGTAAAGGCTCTATGTTGGCACCAGCTCAGCTTCTCCATGTGAATGAGCTGTGTGGGCGGTGTCTTCAGCAATGGAGTCTTGCTGTCAGTTTGGGAGAGCATCCTATTATAATCTTGGCAGCAACCTGGGTTGTTTGGGAGATTCCCATGGGACCCCTTTGGGCAAGTTTCAGTGGTTCTTTCTACCCAAACAAGGATTCAGTTCCTTGGGGACTAAGTCCTGTATACTTCTGAACATAGGCCCTGACTCTCTCTGTGGAATGTGATGAGGAACAGACATGGGGTGGAGGTCGTCTAGGTATGACAAAATGCCTGTCTGCCATTGGCCCTTGATTCCCGCCGCTGGGTTGTCTGCACAGCGGCACTTGGAGAAAACGTTTTGAAGCCTTGATTTATCTTTTTGTCTTTGTTGTTTCTAGTCATTTTCACTGAAAGGCGAGAACACACTTTTAAACTGCCCTTTTAAACTCTGCAATGCTTAGCCACAAAGGGCCACATGAAAGGAACAATAGCACATTCTCCACATGTGAGCACACTCGAGGTCCCCTTTGGTGAGGAGATCTATGGGACGTGGGCACAAAGCTCCTCCTGCAGCTGATGGATAGCCCTCTGGGTGGAAGTCCCATGACCGGGGGAGGCCCTGCTGTTCCCCGCTCAGTGGACATGCCGTCCCACCCTCTCATGAGCTACCAGGAACTTTGAGACTCTGCCTCACCATTCCTAGGATGCCATAGAGGTCCCTGGCGGGGACAGGGTGTGCCAATGAAAGGAGTAAACCGAGTGAGGTGTTTGAAACCAGGTGCCTGGGTTTGAGGCCTGGTGTTGGCAGTTCTAAATTGCACGGCCTTGTGTAAGTCACCTGGTTTCTGTGAGGGTTATTGCATCAATTAGCTTCCTCTCTGGAGCCCTGGCTTGTGCATCCATCCGAGACTCAGTGAGACAAGAGGATGCTGCAGTCCTCTTTCCCTCCTGGACGCCATACTAAGGCTTCCACTCCATGGAAACAACATGAATTTAATGGCTCCTGGTTCTGAAGGCTGAAGTCCGAAGTCAGTTTCACTGGGCTAATGCCGAAGAGTTGGCTTGGCTCTGAGGGAGAGCCTGTGTCCTTGCCTTTCTACCCTCCATGGTCCACCTATCCTTTGCTTGTGCTCAGCCTCCCATCTGCAAAGTGTGCCAATCCTGTTTCAGCTTCTGTCAGCTCTTCTGGGTCAGGGCTCCTTTGGCTTGTGACCTCACTGTTTCTGCCTGGAGACCCAGGATCATTCTCCATCTCAGATCCTTCACATGCCCATTTTCACTGTAGGAGAAGGGCTACAGGTCCTGGGGATTAGAATGTGGACATCTTGGTGGGCTAGCCTGCTACACCATCTTATACATTTTTCCCCGTTGGGAGACAGGCCTAATAGGAAGCCCTTCATTTGTGCTGGGGGGTGAACGCATGAATGAGTGAAGGCATGCTGTCGGTGGGGGGGGGCACTGCAGTTGGCCTTTAGGGCACTAGGAATCTGCCAGAGGGTATTCAGTGTAAAGGCCATAGTATATGAGATGGCCCAGTGGCTTGTCCCGAGATACTCAGCCCAGGGCAAGGCAGGTGGAGTGTGGGGGCTCAGCAGGGCCTCTGGGGAGAAGTGGGCAGGTCACGTAGAACCTTGCAGAACACTTTTAAGAGGCCTGCTTCTTGTTTTAGAAGGAAGTTATGTGAGATGGCTACTGCCATTTACTTTGGAGTTGTGGCTCGAGTTAAATTCCTGTGCTGCCACTTGCTTGATCCAAACCACGGAAAACTGCCGAACCTCTCTTGAGACTCAGGGAAATAACTACTTCAAAAGGCACTTTTGAGAGACAGACAGCCTTGGAGGTTTTCAAAGCACATGGTCTAGTGCCTGGGATAATCCAAAGAACCAGGGGGAATTTGTTGTTAATGCTGTGGTTACTTTGGTAAATACGGAATTGCTGTAGGTGATGGTGATGAGGGTTAGCAGGGACCTTTCATGTCAGACCGGCCTCTGCACACATGTCATAGGAAGATGTGGGGACTGTGGACAAGCCACTCTGGGTGTCAAGATGGCACTAAGAGGCTGCTGAGATTCCATGAGAGAGGAAGGAGCAGAGCCAAGTGGGTTTAAGAAGGCCCTGGTGGCCTTGGAGTGCTTGTGAGATGCCCTTGCTGTCCCCACCTGAAATGCTTCACAAGGACTATAGAAGCCATCTTTGGCCAGTGCTTGGGCCTCATGTTCCTTGCCAGTTCCTGGGCTCCCTGTTCCTTCACCACAGTGCCCAGGTCCTCAGCCCCTGCAGTGGAGCAGATGAGCTGGGCAGAGTCTGTGGTAAGAGGCTTTGGATGGCGGTGCAGCTTAGTTCTGCCTCATGGTATTGGCGGGGTGCTCTGCCTCTGTAGACTCCTCTTCCCAGCTTCCCAGAGCATTCTTCCACCATTCTCCTCACAAACACCTGGCAAGTCCTGGTGGAATAGGACTCAGAGGTTCTTTGGGTTTGAATGAAATACAGTGGCTTCACTGAATGGGATGGGCATGGGGTGTGTGGGGGAGGAGAGCAGGCTGCTTGGGAGGGAGGTTTTGGAGCCGCAGAGAAACTCAGGGTCCCACAGGGTCTGAGAACTGTGTGTCCTACACCGTCTTCACTCACACCCTTCATACATCTTTAGGAGGAAGCCAGTTCAATGGAGGGCACCGTGGCGAGACTATGATTGTTCCTGCAGTCATATCTTAGCCTGCAAAGACGGTGGAGGAAAATATATTTCAATGCCATGTTCAAAAGAACTGTCATTTTCGACATAGTAAATGAGTTTTTGGAGAATGATGTAAGAGTGTTGCTCTCAATGTGTTCTATTTCCTTTAGTTCAGATTGATGCATGATGGGGGGAAACAAATCTAAGTGGAGCTTACTACATGGGTGGAGGCTCTGAACACACACACACACACACACACACACACACACACACACACACACACACTCACACAAATCAGAAATCAGAACCACAAGGCCAGTGTCCTTTACATACCGTGGCACATCCCAGAAGCCTCTTTTAAATAGCCACACATGGATTTCCAGGGAAGCTGGGAGAGAAGAAATAAATAAGCAAACCCAGCTTTGAAACCATGAGTGATGGGACAGACACATTGATGATAAGACTTGCTCTTTGCCTGTCCCCAGTGTATCCCAGTGACCAGTGAGCTTCGTTGGCATGTAGCCTGCTCAAGGCACTCTCTGGGTATCAGGGCCAGGTAGTCCTTGCAGTCACCTGTACTGTTTATGTGCCTATGGCATTCTCTTCCACACTGACATTTTCTTTTTTTTCTTTTTCAGGGAAAATCAGTTCGTGTCTGAAAAGGCCAGTGATGAACCAGATGCCCTGTTGCTAGGTAGGTGAGGCTCATCCCTCTGCTGTGTCTAGGCAGTGGCAGGGCTCCCTCCAGGCTTGGTGGGAGACTCCTCACCAGCCACCTCAGGGCCATGGTGCTCTGTTCCTTCAGTGTCTCCATCTACTGCCTGCCTTTCTCCTCTGGACGGTTCATTCTTTAAAAGAGGGATTGGTTATATAGGTGGATGTAGTCACACATGCTTTGCAACCCCAGCACTCAGGAGGCTAAGGCAGGAGGATCCCAAGTTGGAGGCCAGCCTGGGGCATGTGGCAAGACTGCATTGGGCTGTGTAGACTTGGCATAGGATGGATTTCAATGTTCAAGCTTCAAGCTTCAACCAACCAACCAACCAACCAACCAACCAACCACCCACCCAACCACCCACCCAACCAACCAACCAACCAACGAATAGCTTGTTTCCCCACAGCAAACCAGACCATCCCAGAGAAACCCGGTTGCTTCTCTCTGGGCCCGCACTGCACAGCTGCAGACACAGGAGCTCTTTGGGGCCATTTAGAATGTTTCTGGAAGATAATTCCGGGCCAGAATCTGAGGTGGCTCCGCCTGGGGTGGCATGTCCATTTACAGGGTTCATAGGCCTGATTGAGGTCTAAAATGCACAGGGACGGGTGAGGGGCCCTGCTTCAGCCCCATGCGTTTCACACAGTGCCTGCATCTCTGTCGCTGCACTCTGAGATCAAAGCGGAGCCTTTATTTCCACTCTAGCTTTGAAGCAGTTTCTTTCTGTCTGTAATCCTTGAAGACAGAGTCTGGTAGGAACTCCGGAGTGGACAATGACAGGGCAGGGTTGGCCGTGAAAGAGTGAGCTTGAGTGCTCTTGAGTCTGCTCTCCTGGAAGCCAGCCCTTTACCTGCTGGTCTTTCTTGGCACATAGAAGCGATTCACTTGCTTTGCCTCTTTCTCCCTTTTAAACATTCCCTTTTAAGCTGTAGGAGGAGAGGAGTACTCTTAGAAGTTCCTGGCTTGGACCTGCAGCCAACAGTGAGCTTTGATCTAGCTGAAAGTACAGGCCGGGGCTCTGATCATGGAGGCTGGCTTGTTTATGCCGTGTGTAATGCACTTCAGAGGTACCAGAGCCTCAGAAATCACCAGGAACCCGCTGGTGGGGATGATGTGGCCCAGCCCAGGAAGGGCAGGTTTCTGTCCATGGCTGTGCAGAGTAAAGGATGCAGTCAAGAAGCTCCGGAACTCAAAGCCTCTGGGTTGTGCAGCTCTTGAAGCTTTTCAGATGAAAGTGACTCTGTTTAGACACAGTTCCCAGCCTTCGGAACGCCCCTCGGAAGGGAAGCTTTTGGGCAGTTCCCAGAAGCCATTTGAAGTACTTTCTGGAAGGAGGGGACCCTCTTCTGCTGGCTTGGAGGATGAATCAGACAAGGATAAGGAAGTAAAGGATGAAAACAGAGTTAGGGGAGAGAAATAGAGGGAGTTGAGGAGCAAAGGATATGGGCTGCAGGAAAGAGGCAGTGCATTCTGGTCCATGTTCTCCTGTTTCCCTTTGGTCTGGTTTAGGAGCCTTCGTTTGCAGCCCCCTGCAGACCTAGGTGAGGCTTTGCTGAAGGCAGGCTGCTGAGTGGAGATTATCTTGTATTCTTGGAGGGCAGAACTGGATGGCCTCAGAGAGAGAAATGTCCTCTCCTAGAAATGCATGAGCTTCAAGAGATACAGGAGACAAGTTCTGTGATGGGCCCTGGAAGGTCCACAACGGTGGCATTTAGGCTCGACTTTAAAGGATGAGCCAGGTCTTGCCCAAGGGATATATGGAAGTAACTGCTCACAAAGAGGCAGTGATGAAAGTGAGAGAGGCTATGGAGAGGAGCGGGGCCCACAGGGAGGTGGGTGTCAGGAAGGGGCTGGAGCAAGCTAGCAGAGAGGATTCTGAGTGCTGTGCTAAGGTTTGGACCAAACCACTGGGCGCCAGGAGCTGCTGACAATCAGGGCTATGCATTGGGCTGTGTAGACTTGGCATAGGATGGATTTCAATGTAGAAATCCCCAGAAAGGGATTTGTGAGGAGCTCTTGAGAGAGTCACAGCAGAGTGATAAGGCTCTTCTGTCTCAGAGTGTTTCAAGACCTCACACGCCACCTTACCAGGCTGCTTCCCTGCCTTCTCATGGCAGAGGTCCTTGTCTTACTCTTTGTTCCTGAACCTTTGCCCTGATTCCTCCTCCAGCACATTTCACCATTGTGTTTGGGGCACTGTGTCTCTTTCTCTGGGCGGCTGGGATCTCTTGGAGAACAGAATGATCCCTTCATCAGTTCTGGGCCTCTCTGTCTCATGCTGTCTCTAGTATATTAACTATGGGTATTTGGTAGAGGATGCCATAAAACCAGGCCCGGAGATACAGACCTGTAATTCCAGCTACTTGGAAGTTGAAGGCAAGAGGATTACCATGAGTTCGAGGTCAGCTTGGGTTACAAAGTGAGTTCAAAGTCAGGGTGACTTAGTCAGACCTTGTCTCAAAATAAAAAGTGAAAAAAAGAGCAGAGAAGACTGGGAATAAGGCGCAGTGCCAGATGAGGCCCTGGGTTCGATGCTCAGTTCTGCAAACAAATAAACAAATAAGTGCTTTTGAATAAATAGAAAAACACTCTTTCCTGGACAGTGGAGAGAGAAGGGATAGACATGAGATGTTTGAAAGATGGGGGAAATCCAGAGACTGAAGCCACAGTGGGTGGAGAGGACTGAGGTTCCATCTTGGGACACTAGAGGAGGGGGAGGGCATCCTTATCAAACCCAAGTCTTGGAGGACCGTCAGTGTCTGGTGATGGAGGGCTCCCAGTGGATATCCTGGGGTCAGTAGGAAGTACCAGCTCACTGATAGAGATGCTATCTGAGTAGTTCATATAGAAAAGAGTCCGAAGGCCATCTCCCTGTGGACTCAGCATCAGCACCATGTCTCTTGCTCTCTTTGGATCCCATTTGAAGGGGAATGTGATTCTTTTTTTTTCTCTCTCTCTCCACCCACATACCCCTCCTCCCTCAATGTCTTTTCCCTCCAAAGGGTATATAAAATGGGAAAACAAACCCCTAGCTCCTGTTCAATCAGGCATTCAGATGACGGCCTTAAAAATAGCATTCTCAAACCACTGGCATTTGCCGACAGTTTGGTGTCCTGGCCAACATGTCATTCCTCAGTGCTTTGTTTTTCCCTTGCATGGCGGTCTCGCCACATCTGGTCCTGAGGCCTGCTATGTGGTCCTGAATCAACTCCCTGTGCTGGGCCAGCTCCTCCCCACGGAATCCAAGGGAGGTTGCCTGCCCCGCTGCTCACCCCACCCCGTATGTGTCATGAGTCCTGCTCCCTGACTCCCAGCCTCCATCCCAGACTCACTTCTTGGACTGAGCAGAGTATGTTGCTGACCCCTCCACCCCCACAAAACCAAACAGAGGTCTCCAAATGAGCCCAAACACTGTCCCTTTCACCCCCCAGGAATCAGGCTGACCCCAGGCATTGCAAGGAGCCCTTCAGGCCTGGTAGAGTCAATCACTTAGGTTGCTCTTCCTGGTAGACGGGGGCCTCTGGTGCCCACAGTGAGATAAGCCACATGTTTCTGGTCTCTGCTCTCACCATGTGTCTTTCCGAAGTCTGCCTGCCAGCCATGTTCTCCTTCTTCCTCTCTGTCCTTATTTCCCGTCAAGCCTCCCTATCTTAGGCGTGAGCTGCATCTGTTCCCGCAGAGTCTGGGGCATTGCTCGGGATGCGTGTGTCTTTATTTGCCATCTCGTTTGATTTCTTCCTTTCTCTACATAGTACCATGTTTCTAAAATCCATTCATGTTGCTGGGAACATCTGGTTTCTATTTCTGGTTATTTTTATAAGGCCGTGGTCACAGGGTAACGTTTCCAGAGATTCAAACGAAGAAAGGTCTCATTTAAATGTAGCTTCTTACTTAAAGTTCAGCCTTAAAAAATATTCTTTGACAGTTTCATACACGTACAGAATGAATTTTCGTCGTTCTCACCCCCCTTGCCATCACTTCTGCCCCCTCCTAACGGCCCCCACTCCATTTTCATGTCTTATCTTCTTATCCAGTGGATGAGTTTCCCTTGTGGGGTGGCTGGTTCTCCCCAATGGGGGAAGGAGGCTGTCGAGGGAGATACAATTGGGAAGTTGGCCTGAGATTCCCCTCTGCGCCCCCACTCCCAATGCCAGGCCCACCCTGGCAGGGTCTCTGGGGAGTGTGTGCCCAGCTTTGCCAGCATGCTTACCTCGGGGTACCTTCTCTTGCGGTCCTTTATCTGAGCATTCTAGTGTATGCTGCACAGAACGGGGGAGGCCCAGAGGGTCTCGATAGCTGAGGTGTCACAGGCGTGTGCTGCTGAAGACTGGCAGGATTCTCTTTCTCCCTCAATCATCACAGCTGGGAGAGGATAGACTTAAGAGATGTTCTGGAGGCCCTTCTGGCTGGAGGTCCGGGCGAGGCAGGGTACCAGGCGGTTTCCAGTCGTCTTGGTTTGTGTTCTGTCTCTGCCATTTTCTCTCTGCCCAACTCGGGACAGCTACATCACTGCCTATGCTTCTTGTTTGTGTTGTAAGTGAGGCTGTAGGAATTGAGCTTTCAAAAGGCCAAGTTGGGGTTGGGGAGCACAACTCAAATGCCCGATAAATAGCACGGAGGACAATAAGATTACTACTCTTGTTTTTGCGGAAATGTGACTCCTTTTGTGCTGGCCTCTTCTCGTGGGTGCTTGGGGCGACAGACGTGTGCCCCCTGCTCACCTTTTGTAAAGAATGGGTCAGAGCTGGGCCTGGCTGGGCCTGGCTCACTGGCTATCGGTTCTAAGGCCCTGGTTCACTCTGTCCACCTGTGGCACAGCAAGAGAGGGGTGGTGGCCAGGAGTGGGCCCCTCTTTGCCTTCTTTCCTGGTGGGGGAGGCCTGGGGCCTGGTGTGGAGGCTGCTGTTCAGGCTGGGGGCATTCTCAAGGTTTTCCTGAGTTCTCACTGTGGTGGCTGTATAAGTGACTTCCTGTTCCATCTCCCCTGAACCACATCATGGCCATGTTTTCTTCCAGAGGATGTTGAGGATGAACTGATAAAGGAAGATGTTGTCCTGTCTCCACCTCCATCGATGCTCAAGCTGCAAACTGTGTCAAAGCCAATGGACCTCTCCTTGGCGAAGGTAGGTGTCGGTGCTGAGGTGTAAGGAGTCCACGTTAAACACCGTCTGACGCGAACTGCACAGCTTGGATGTTTTTGGCTCAGTGGTTCTTTCTCATTATAATCTCCTGGACACTGTTGAAGTGGGAACTGGGATGTGATGTATAAGAAACCTGAACCGAGGGTCAGGAAGACTGTTTTAGTCCTGACTGCTCTCCTGCCTCCACGAGACAGACTTGGGTCTTCTGGGAGGACCTTGTGGCCATCCTCTTAGCCCGAGAGTGACAGTCCCAGGACTGTGGAAGGGCTGTGGGAGGGAGGGCTGTGTCTCCTTCTAGATGCTGCAGGACCCTGCTCTTTGATGTCCCAGAGCTGCCTCACGTGCTGTGGTGCGACAGTAATGAAGTCGTCCTGTGTGACCGGCTCTGGGCAGCTACAGAGCTGGAAGGACAGGGAGGGCTGGCAGTTCGTCAGCGTACCCAGCCTTGAACCTGTGGCTTTTTAGATGGACCCATGACAGCAGGACACAGGTTCCCTGCCTTACTGCCTTCTTGGCAAAGGTTTCCTGTGTTCCTCGGGACCCTTAATTGCCAGGGTGGCTCACTCCCCCTTTGTCTGGAGGTTCCTGCAGGATGAAGTTTTGTTCCTGCTGCCCCACACCAGCCTTTCAGCCAGGCTCCAGAGGAAAATCTAGAAGCTCCTAGAGATGCAGCCAGCTTCTTTCTTGTCCCTCTTAACTGTGTGACAAGCACATAGATCCTGATGTAAAAGATTTTTCTAGAGGGTTTGTTTTCCTTTCCCTTTTTTTGTTCCTCTCTGTTCCCCTTCCAGCTTTTGAAGCTACAGAGGGCTAGACACAGGGAAGGGGCCCCAAAGCTGGTCACCATGCTCCGACCATGCATACGTGGTCACGACCACAGGACCGTGGTCCTCGGCACAGGCACTTCCGCTTGGTGCTGAGCCCTGGGAGGCCCCCAGAGCCTGCCCAGCAAGAATTGTCTGAAACCAATCCCAGAGAAGGAGTTTCGCAGATGGGAGAGGACAGGGCTCAGGCTTCCGGGTTGTTAAACACACTGCGGGGTCCTGGAACTGTCACTCTTTGGCTAAGAGGATGGCAACAAGGTCCACCCAGAAGACCCAAGTCTGTAGTTTTTAGGCTGTTGGAAGTACATTCCAAGCATACTCATGGTTACACTTGGCACGAAAGGGGAACCAAGCCCTGATGGATGAATTCATTTGTCCATTGTGCTGTCAGCCACATTTGATGATGACATGCAGATACATGTCTTTGTCATGGAGATTCCTTGTACTAAAGGAAGCAATGAAAGAATTGATTGTAGTGGACAGTGATCCAGGTCCCCAGGAGGAGCCTGACCTTGAGAGCAGGCTGGGGTGGGGGGGCTACAGAACAGCCTGCAGGTCCTAGAGCCCTCTTGAGGCTTCAGAGTACCCCACTTTGGTTGTAAAACTGTGATGGAAAGCCATACACCATCATGGGGTAGCAGAGGGTAGGGCCCGTAAACATGAAGCATTGGTATTGCAGAGCAGACAGAAGTACTTGGGTTACTAGAAGATGAACCACAAACTGACTATCTTAAGTCTAGAGATGGTAGAGATCTTAAAGAATGGAGACATGGCCTTGGGAGATGGCAGGAAGCCAGCCCTCTGGGTGGTGGGGTTTTCCATAAGATTTAAAGGGAGGTCACTTATAGGTGGCATCTTAGAGGGAATGCTTTTTTTTTTTAAAGAAAGCTAGAGAACATGCTATTGATTTTGCTCAGGGCTCTGTTGCAACTACTTATATCTGCTACTGTGTTGTTGTGGAAGCAGCCATATTGACAAAATGCAAACAATGCCCATTGTTGTGTGCTAATAAAACTTTATTTACAAAACCAGATAGGTGCCCGATTTAATTTGTGGACTATAGTTTGCCAATGTTGTGCCAGAATTGTGGCTCTGAAACCTTGCTACAAAGTGGAATCACTTGGGCAGTTTAGAATCTGAAAATGGGGCTAAGGCAGATAGCCATGGCTTTCATTCTTAGCACACTAAAAGAGCAAACAAACCTATGGATACCGGCCTCGCATCCTCAGGAATGTGGATTGAATTGACCTGGCCCATGGCCTGCGCATCAGGATTATTTTTAAGTGCCCCTAGATAATTTTAATGTGAGGTCAGGCTGGAAAACTTAGAGTCTTTCCGATGGAGGATCCGAGGCCCTCCAGGATCCCTGGTGAGGCCAACGTTTTACATTTCAAGGTCTGTGTAAGGAAAATCTTGGCCCATGTTAGCATGGGCTGGTGTGGTTTACAGATGTTCCAGAGGTAAGGACGCCCTTAAGGTCAGGTTTATCTTCCTCAAATATGAGAAGAATGGGCTTGCAAAATAGAGACCACTGGGAGAAAATGCACTTTCTAGAACCCATGACCAACTCCTGCAGGGCCTGTGCTGCAAGCCTTGTTATTGTTTATTTTACAAACAGCCCACAAAATGCTTTTCCTTCCCAGGAGCTGAAGACCCTTCTGTTCGGCTCTACCTTTTGCTGCTTCAGTGAAGAATGGAAACTTCAGAACTTTTCCTTCAATGACTCCGCCTCGTTAAAATATGGCATTGTGCAGAATAAGGCAGGCTGCTCTTGGGCTCCCCAGGGACCCTTCTGGGTTGTCCCACATGAAGTGGGAACACCATCACATGGTGACCTCTGAGGGCATCAGGGGGATAATCTGGCCTACCCTACAATCCCCAGGTTATCACTTGGTGCTGGCAGTTACGATATGGTTACTAGAGTGAGAAGGGCCATTGTGATCCTTGCTGGGGACATTCTTCTCAAATTCACTTCCTCTGACACCGGGATATCAACATGAAAGAACAGAAGGTGGCCTTGACCATGCTTGGAGAAAGGCCAAACCTTGGGAAAGGCTGGGGGTTTCACAGGTAGAGCTGGAGGGGGTCCCTTTCAGAAAATGGAAGCCAGAGCAAGGGTAGGGGGCGTGTTTCAGGAAATGCCAAGGCATCATGTGTGCACATCAGGTGTTGGGAAGGTGCAGTGGTTGTCACAGAGCCAGAGTTAGGTGAGGGACGCTTTGTACCTGCCCTGGACATATTCAGCAGGATAGTGGGGCTAGAGACTGGTGGGTGGAATGGACAGCTTCTTGGGGCCGTTCTCACTGGTAGTGACATGTGTCTTTCTCTGCAGGGTGGTCCCTGTGGGGTTCTGGCGGCTGTTCAAGGCTGTGTACTGCAGAAACTCCTGTTTGAAGGAGATAGCAAAACCAACTCTAATCTGTAAGTCGGTGCTCATCTTCCCTTCTTAAGGCTTCTTTCAAGTGTCCAGAATAAATAAGCAAGGAAGTGTGGGTGTTCCCTGATAGTTCCCATCTCCTGGAGGTCAAGACGGGCAAAAAACAGTTAGCTAGCGGGGGTCCTGCTGACCTGGTTACACGGACAGGGTACTTCTGCTTCTAGGATCAGGCAAGGTGGGTGAGTCATGGTTTGTTCTACACAGCAAGTGACTCAAGATGGCTTTGCAGTTTTACCCACCTCCTCGGACCCCTTCTGCACCCAGAAGTACCTGCTGACCCTCTGACTAAGTCCAAGGCTCCCTCCTTCCCTCCCTGCCCGTCTCTTCTCTGTCAACAGCCAGAACTGCACATTCCAACCATCTCCACTGTGCATGACTTTCTCCCCCTTTGTGGCTTTGGATTTTCCATTTTGCACACGGAGTATTTGTTCCTGGGCACCCCTGCTCATCCGCATGTGGTCAACACCCCTAGAACAGCTCTGTGCAGTGAGGGAAACCCGTGCTTTCTCTCCCTCTTCCCACCAGAGGTGCCAACCAAGAGCTTCAAGATTTGCCATTGATTTCTGCGGAGGCCAGCACTGTCTCTGCTCTCCAGAAGCACTTGACACTCCTGATGTGACAGTACCTGCTGAGTTTGGGGTCCCTGACACCCTCAGCAGGGCCCTTGCCCACTTCCCTTCTTAGCTTGGACCGTAAATCATAGAGCTGTGGTGGTGGTGCCCTTCCCCTCATGGCTGCTGGAATTGAGCAGGAGAGCCGGACAAACAGACAGGTGGTGCGGGGTCATGCGGGCCACCAAAGGTGGGAGGGAGAACAGGCTTCCTGCAGGTACATTTGAGTCTTACTGATGTCTGCAGAAGGAAGGAAGCTCCTTATTCTCCATCACACATACATGTCATACTTTAGTTCCTCTAAATTTTCCTGCCTCTCAGCTTATACCCTCCAATTCTTTCCCTTTGTGCCCAAGTGGGGGTGTCTGTTGGCCCCTCTCACGACCCTGTCAAGGACGGCCTTCCCTGACCTCCAGGGAAGGTAATCCCATGCCCTGCCTCCAGTTACGCCATCACTCACTATACTCTTGTTCACTGGTGCAGTTAGGAGTCTGTATCTGCCTCTTCCCAAAGAACACAAGCCCCATGAGAACAGGAACTTACTTCCCCGAGCTGCCCGGTCCACAGGAGAGGCCCTTAGGATTTTTGTTGAATGAGTGTATGAGCAATGAATGAATTGTCCAGACAAACAGGGAGGGGAGGCAGGCAGAGTGGTATTTCACTAAAGAGAACAAGATGTGCAAAGGCCCTAGGGCATGGAGAAGAACAGAGGTTGCCTGAGGTGGCGAGGGATGGGGTTGGGCCAAGCAACCAGGAGGGCCTCTGGGCTCTTAGGACTACCAGCAGCTTTGAGTAAGCCTTGGCCCTGGCCCTTGGGAGCGATGCCTCATGACTCACGTCAGCCCAAATCGCCCTCAGAGCCTCTTTAGATCCCTGGCTTTGGACTTCTGGAGGAGTCCTACCTAGATGGTTTCCCAGTAGTCGGAAGGCTTTGTTGACGTTCTGGAAGTGGGATACCACCCAGGATACAAACAGTCGTAGTTTCTTACAGCCCACAGAGGAAGGGAGCCAGAGCTGTAAAGGCCAGAGGCCCCTCAGGTTGGAGCCTAAGGTGATTCTGAGTCAAAAGAAAACCCTACCAAGTGGTAGAAGGTGATACTCTTTCACTGGCCTCACATTGTTTAGCACCCGTCAAGCGCTGTCTAGGCCTAATCTGTGCACCACTGCATGGGCAGCTGTACCAGGGCTCTGCTAGGGAGAGGAGCAGGGAGAAATGTGGCCTTGGCTTAGAGCGCCTGTGTGCTTGACCTGAGACAGAAAGTGAGTTCACCTGGACCAAAACCCAGAGGCCAAGCCTGTTGTATTTGTATGTGGGACCTGGGTCAGGCGGGGTGCTGGGGCAGAGGGGGCACACCTAGGAAGGGGAAGGAGGTTGCTTTTGGGGGTTATGTGATGTATAAGGATTGTGTTCTGTGTGGGAGCTCTAATGTTGGGGGATTGTGCTGTATGGGGCATGTGTGGGGGAAGGTTGGGTTGTATGTGGGACTTGCTATATGTTTGAATTGCTGCATGTGGGTTGTATTTCGTGAGGGCAGCTGTGTTGTGTGTGAGAAAGTTGTATTATGTATGAGTTGTATTACATTGGGAGGGTTGTGCTGTGTGGAGATTGTATTTGCATGGGAGTTACGTAATGTAGAACAGTTGCATCATCTGTGGGATTGTATTGTATGTGTGTGAATTTTGTTTTATGGGGTAACTGTGTTCTATTTAGAGCGTGTGTTATATGTGGGATTGTGTTGGATCTGAGGTTTATCTTGTGTGTGAGGTATGTTGTTTGTAGTGTGTGAATTATGTTGTGTGAGAATTGTGCCTTGGGACTGTGTTGTGGGTGATTGGAGGTTGTGTTGTATGTGGGTTATGTGGTGTGAGGGTTGGGTTGTATAGGGCTGTGTTATGTGTGGAAGCTGTGTCGTGTTGGAGTGTTTGGGTAGGTTATGTTATTTGAATGGGTCCTGTTTACAGGAGGTTGTATGTGGGTAGTGTTATGTCAGTGGGTTACATTCTGTGTGGGGTGGATGATGTTGCATGTGTGGGTTATGCTGTGTGAGGGTTGTATTGTGTGAATAAGCTTTGTTGTGTGTGGTTTGTATTGTGTGAGTATGTGATGTAGGATCTGTCTGTGGAAGATGATGAGGCTCCCTTTCTTTGGGCCTGGTAGCTCTGGATGCTGCTCATTATCCCTCTGCATCCCTCATCCCTGTGGTCCTTAGGCTGAGTGCCCAGGGTGTTCCTTCATGCTCAGTGAGAGGGAAGCAGGAGCACTTGGCTCAGCTCCCTTTCAAATCCAAGGAAACTTAGGGAGAAATGGTGGAGGGGTGATCTGTAAGAGTCCCTAAGGCCCCCCTCCGAGCTGACTAGCATGAATGCTTGCTGGCCAGAGGGCTCCAGGTAAGGGTACTGATGCACTCCCCAGTCTCCCATCAGAGGAGTGGTGTTGCCACCTTAGGCGGACAGGGACAGGGAGGAGAAGCACGGGGGACCCAGGGCTTAGTCCAGCACTGTTAGAAGGACCGAGCAGGGGACTGTTCGGGGCCAGGAGGAGTGTGTGTGGGGGTGTCATTTGCAGTTTGAGCCTCTGCCTTGCTAGTGTTCTGCAGGTTGAAGTCTACAGTAGGCATCCTTATCCAGCGGGTGTGGTGTGTCCCGAGGGAGGAGGGAGTCAGTGTGCTGGGGCTGAGGCGGCAGAGAGCGCAGGACCTGGCCAGGACCAGGGTGACAGTGGTGGTCGAGGACTCGCATCTCTGGGTGCACTCTCGAGTTGCACTCCTTGAGAAAATGCAAACAGCCTTTAAAAAAACCTCCCAGGACCATGCAAGTGAATAGGTCCGTGGAACTCAGCCCATCACAGTACAGATGGGGAAACTGAGGCCCACAGATGGAGAGATGCTAGCTCAGGGTCAAAGTTGGCACCATTCCTGAGCCAAGATTGGCCTGTGGTATCTTGCCTATCACGGCATGTTGCTGCACACTAGAGGCACTGGGGATCAGAGACGGAAGGAAGAGATGAGGCTGTTGGGGCTGGAAACTGCTGATGGATGCTCCGGTACTCTTCAGGCTCTCTGTGTATAACGGGCTTCTCAGCAGAACCTCTTCTGTCCGAAGAGGACAGACAGCTACTCTGTAGTCAGATGGGATGGGTTGTGAGTGCAATTATGTGTGTTTTAGATCTTCAGTTTGAGTGACTTTCGTGCCAAGTACTGGTGGATAAAGTCATCCATGTTCCTGCCTGGGCTGTGTATGCTCGGAGGCTTTGAGGCCTGAGTGGTCCCTTTTCACTCTGAAATTCTACGTTTTTAGAAACTGCCCAGTTTAATAAGAGCAGGGCTGGGGCGGGGAAAAGGATAAGCTCCTCCTTTGGCCTTGGGACTGTGATGCTTCTCAGGGTGCTCTGCCAACCCGAGGATCTTCCACACGTGCAGCAGCTCCTGGGCTGGGTTCTTGCACACCGGGTCTGAAGGATCCTGAGAAAGGAACAAGGCTCTAGGAGAGCAGGGCTGAGGGTGGGTGGCCCCTTCGGGGAAGCCAGGCAGAAATAAATGGTGCTTGGCGAGGCCATGTGTTTTCTGTATGGATGTCTGGCCTCATTACGACTCAGCCCATCAGGCTGGCAGCTGCCTCGCCTCACTTAGCCCGGCAAAGCCAGGCGGCAGGATGCGGTGTTTTTCCACTGGACAGGAGCTATGCAGCTTGGCTCATCCCCTCCACAAGCCCCAGGAGAGCCCTTTAGAGGCTGGCAGGAATGCAGAGGGGATCTGGGATGTTGCCCTCTTAGCATACCTCCTTTCTGAAATCATGGGACTTGAAGACCATAGCAGGAGCACTTGCCTTAAACCTCCAGATACTTGGTCCCTGTGGTCCCCAGCCAGCCAGCCCTCTGCTCTCCCTCAGAGGAGCAGAAATGAGGAAACCATGGCCTGGACACACTCTCCAGCTTTATCCAGAACTTTCTATAGACTTAGTTCACATGGGCACATCTTTGGGGACAGGTACAATTGTCTTGAGATAATTAGGGTAAAAGCACCTGTTTTCTCTGAGACACTAGGGCAAACACAGGCTCCCCACCCCGCCCTCCCTAGGCACTTCAGCCTGCACTTCTGGAGGAATTAGACTCTTGAAGAAACTTCTGCTGTAAGAGCCTGGCTGGGGGCCAGATTCCTGGTGGGAATGTTGATAAATACGTATCTGATGTCTAGGAAATGGAGGACCTTCTCCGTCACCATGGGGTTGCCAGTGAAGCTATTGTCTAGATACTGGTGAGGGTCAAGTCCTGGTTGTGTAGGCAGTTATAGGTGACGCATCTCTTTGTTGTCACCTTTGGGATAAGTGCATGTTTGGTGTGTGTGTGTGTGTGTGTGTGTGTGTGTGTGTGTTTGTGTGGAGGGTGTGGGCTCCCTGCTGCCTGGGGGCTAGATATAGATTGCAGACCTCTTGACTGCTGGTCGCTGCATTTTCTGTGGTCCACTCTCTTATCTAGAAAATGAGGTCTCAAGGTCTCAAGAAGCCATGCCTTCGAAAGATGGAGAAGGCCAGGATAAGGTGGGAGCTGTAGAAGCTGCTGACTAGAAGCTGACACAAATGGGAAGACTCTAGAAACAGGCCAGCTCCGAGAGGCTGCAGGCAAGGCCAGTGGGAACAGGGAGACACTGGCCCATGAGCAGGCTGTCTTGAGTGTGCCACAAGATGCTTGACAGATGGGCTGCAAGGCATCATGGTAAGCTCGACTTTCCCATACTCTCCTTCCCTTTCCTCCCTGTGACTTGGACAAATCACTTCACCCCCAAGATGTAGTTCTTCCTCCTTCAAGAGGATGATAGAGTTCTGAACTCTGAGGTTGTTTTAACAGGCTCATAAAGTGATACATAGAGAGTGCTCATCATCAGTGCCAGGCGCTTGCTAAGGACTCACGTGCTAGCTTTTAAAAATCTTAAATGACAGGCTGGAGAGATGGCTCAGTGGTTAAGAGCACTGGCTGCTCTTCCAGAGGGCCCAGGTTCAATTCTCAACACCCATGTGACAGCTCACAACTGTCTGTAACTCCAGTTCCAGGGGATCTGACACCCTCACAAAGACATAAATGCAGATAAAACAGTAATGTACATGACTGAAAATCTTGACTGTCACTGCGCTGAAAGGTTTCCAAGCCAGGATTGCTTGTTTCAGTCCTTCACTTCAAGCGCAGTATTCAGATGGGGTCCCCATCCATAGACTGTAGGTTTCCCAGCCATGGGTGTACCAGGCAGTGTGCTTCTGTTCAGGCAAGCTTTTACACAGCTCCTGCGCGGAGGGGGTTTTAACCTGGGTGGAGGTGGGGTCATTGTGGGAAGAAGTCCCACCTCGAACATTCTGGTGCATGTGTACTATGAGACGGGAGGTGGTCGAGGAGAGAATGAAACTCAGCGGGAGGAAGGAGGCGGTACCCGTTCAGTGGAACACGCGTCAGAAGAAGGTGGATGTGAGATGCGGGCATGCAGTGAGTAAGCCATTGCCGTCGTTTGGAGAGCCGTGAAGCCTGTCTGTAGTTTCTGAATCCAAAGAATTAACAGCCAACCCTCTCGCCTGTTGTTTGCCCGTCTCTACCATCCAGGCTGCCTTGTCCTTGGCATGGCCTCTGCTGAAACCCAGAGAAATGTTTTTTCAATGTTATTTTCCTAGCAAGTGCTGACCTGGGTCGGTGCTCCTAACAGCGTAGGCCATCCGGTTTGGCGATGAGATGGTCCCCATTTCCTGTGAGAAATATGGCAGGCTTCCTGAGTTGGAGGAGGCATCAGGCGGTCACTGGCTTCTTTTCTTCCAGGCTGAGCCTCATTGTTCATCTTGTTGCCTCCACAGCCTAGCAAGTGCAGGAGCTCCACGTCGTCAGTAGGTGTCAGGTGACCCCCCCCAACCCCTGTCTATGGATGTGGCCCATGTGGTGACAGTAGTGATGGAGCCAGAGACTGAAAACTCCCCATGCATCAGGATGCTCCCAACCCTGAGGGGAGCTCAGTGTTGATGCCACTTTCTAAATGGGGAAACGGAGGCACCACCGTGTCCTGTCATCTTTTATTTTAAAATAAGTAGATTTTCACTTTAAATAAGAGCCTGGCTGTAGATGCATGGCTCTGTGTCCCACCATGGTAGCTGTTTACTGGTCTCCTGGTTTCTCTCCTCTTCCGCTGGCAGGAGGGGCGGATTCCAGCACTCTCTCGCTCACGCATCTCGGTGTGGCGGTCAGGCGTTCTTTGGTTAGTGAAAACCTGGAGTTCTTGAGTGTGCATTCCTGTGCCCTGCCCCCAGCAGGTCTTCATCCTGTTGGTTAGGAAGAGATTTAAGCCAGCTTCTGCAAGAATGTAGGGAGATCCACAGAGCACAGAGGGAAGCCAGGAGCATCGCACGAGGAGGCCTGGAAATGCCAAGTGGAAAGAAACGGCTATATTTGGCCGCTGCCTTCCTCCCTCTTATTCTCAGTGTCCCAGGAACCTCTTAGTCACCGTTCTTATTGCAGGATGGCTCATCGGCTTTAGATGTGGTGACTGACTGAGCTTCCTAAAACTTCCCCGCGCCTACGCGCTGCTGCTCCGTGTCCTGCCTCTCTCTCTCCCCGACCTTCCTCTCCTGTGCCTTCCGCACGCCCCGGAGGTCCACCCTAGCCGCCCTTCTCATCTAGGAAATCTACGCCAGCCCACTTTGTCCTCTGCTTTCCATGAATCCCACAGCTTCTCAGGGGGTCTGAGGAGGGAGTGGCAGCTCCCGTCACAACACGGCCGCTGCTGCCAGTCACACACCGGTTTCAGTTGGCAGCATGGTGGCACCCCGGCAGCCA